AAACTCCAGGTAGACTAGACAGAGGTTTCATGCTGGGGTGGGGTTTTCAGGGCTGCAGCTGCCTTTGAGAATCCTGCTCTAGCAGGCTGCCCCTAAGCCTTACTCCTGTAAGTAACTCTAGGAAACTCAGGGGTCCACCAAATTAAACTGTGGTGTGACTGTTACTTTGACCTGTTTGGGATTCCCTTTCATGGATCAGTAGCTGTGTTTGTGTATGATGCAGTTAAAGTCTCACATATGGCATAGGTCGTATTCAAATATAATAAATCCTTGGTTCCTAGTCTCTTGATTTATAAAAGTCTTGCGTGTGTGTCTCTGGACTTTGCTTCTGCTGTAATTTGACTTTATTGTAATGCTCCTTTAATGGAGCAGGTCTCTGGCTGCTGGCACTGAATTGGGAGTTTGTAGAACGTTTAAGGAGATGAAGCCTAACTGGAGGAAGCGGGTTTGATAGTTTGGACCCCACTTTCTGTGTGCACTCTCTTCCTAACTTCAGATGCAATGAAACCAACTTCTCACAAGCCTGCGATTGTACCTTCCATGATATGATACACTGTATCACCTCGAGCTGGACCCTCACCACTTGCATTGCTTCTTGCCAAGGATTTGGTGGCAACGACGGCAATAATACAGTGTTCGCTCAGTTTGCCACTTCTTTGTTTGTTTGTTTTTCTTTTTGTCTTTGGGAAAGAAGTAGATCTCAAAACTTTGCCAGATTTTGACAAAGTACCCATGGCTGCTAACCTGGCCCATGTTTTTCCCATGTCTCATAATGAAACAGATATTATGAACAAAACTTTAAGCGGTATTTAATTACACTTCCTTAATTACACTAGATGATGTGGAGGCTGAATGTCTAATTCCTCCACATGATCTAGGATCCTTCTTTTGAGAAACAGCCTCACCATCCTGACCAATTGCCATGGCAACAACCTTTAATATTTAGAATCCCTCTCTGCTCCCGAGCACTATTTCAGCACTGGCTACCCCAGAAATTCTTAGATGAACCTACCTCATCTTTCCCACCTTTTCCCTGTCTTTTCTGCTTTTTATTACTGTTCTGAAACAGGCTGCCGTGTATTTCAAACTGGCCTTCAACTCCTTAGGCATCAGAGGATAACCTTGGGTTCCTGATCCTCCTGAGTGTTGGGGTTACAGACAGGCATCAGCCCAGCCAGTTTATTAGTTTAAACACTAAGCAAGCATCCTATTGACTGTGCTACAGCCCTGCTCCATCACTCCTTCTCACTAACAAGAAACCACACTACTTTTCTTCTACTTGCTGGATAGGCATTCTCTTGCTGCCAAACCCTCTAGCAAGCCTCTCTCATGAGACTTTGACCTTCTGTTTGACCACGGCAATGGGAACTGTGTGAAAACTGGACATAACTGAAACCTAGGGACTATACAACGTGCCACGATGGGAGGGGTGACTGGCACACGGGCACCACCCTGTCATACCATGTGGGATCCCGTGTCTCACACCCCATGGTGCCCTGCATCCTGCTCTGCACAGACTTGCGACCCTCCTCTATACAGGGATATCTCAGTGAAAATTATGGATTCCAGGTGGGTAGACTCTCCCAGAAAAACAGTTTGAGTTTCCAGCTCTGATGACGTTTTGACAGGATTCAGGGGTGCTGCAAGGCTTGAGAAGGCAGTCCTCCGGGTGTGCCTGTAAGGATGCTCTCAGAAGACACTGGCATGGAGATGGAAGCACTGGACCCGCAGGAGCCACTTCTAGTCAGGAAGCACTGTCCACTTAGGAGGGAGTCCGATGGAACACACATGCAGCTCTCTCTGCCCATGTCTCTCTCCTCCTTCCTCCCCCTCTGGTTGGATTTTGTTGGGGGTGTATTTGGTTGGGTTTTGAGACGTTGTCTCACTCTGTAGCTCATGCTATCCACCAGTTTATGATCCTCCTGCCTCAGCCCCCTCCACCCCGCCCAAGCAGTGGGATTCCAGGTGTGTGTCACGGTGACTAGATTTTGTATTAAATACTTTTATTCCAGCATACAGGACTTGCAAATGAGGAGGAAGTGGGGTGCACATGCACAGATGTTGGGTGGACAGCCAGCCATGCTGCCAACATTGACTTCTTCACGTGGTGCCCCTTTTCCAGCAGATGAGGTGGCCACGTTAATGCCAGACTATGTAGTATAAGGGCAGGCCATTTCCCAGGGATTCTCCCATATGGAGTAACGACCTAGCCAGCATTTGTTCTTCTCCTTATTACCTGCTGCCTGTGGGCTGTCTGCTGTGACTGCCATTACCTGTACCTAGCTGGAAAACACAGAGAAAAATCCCCAGGTTTCCTGGCCTGCCACATAACCCAGCTAGCAAATCTTACCCCAGCCCCTTGTCTTGGAGATTTCTGCTGCACAAACCTAGCTCGGGCCTTCTAGGGGATGGCATCCGTTGCCACTTACAGCCTCTGCTGCTGATGAAGGAAAAAAGACCTTCAGGAAGACTTCATTCCTCAGCTGTGTCCACTGGTCCTGGCTGACCCAGCACTCAGTGCCAGGGGCTTTTTGACATCAAGGGGTCTGCCCTGCACTGGAAGCAGGAGCCCACAATAGCCACCTCCACAGGGAACTCAGAATGAAGGCTTCTTTAATGGGAAGGTAAATGGCAGCCTCAAGCTTCCTATATTTAGGCCTTCCTGAGGAGCAGCTATTTTGGGCTATGTGTGAATGGAAGCGGGCAGACTGGATTGGGAGTGTAGAAAGAAGCAGTGAGAATGTGACCTAAAAAAGGCAGATCCCAGCAGAGCAATCCCAGACCACATGTTTGAGACAAGTCCTCGTTGATTAGTGGAAAGCCCAGCCTTGCTGCCAGAAATGGAAAAGAAGGCCTGGGTTTTGACGCTGGCTGGCCGGCCGGCTGGGCGCCATCTCCACTTCTGGTCTGGAGCAGCTCTTTCTCAGGAGAACAGAGCATATGCAGGGCTTAGTCTAGGACAACACAGCGCTGTTGTCTAAGTGTCCGTGGGCTCAGTCAATCCAGAGGAATGCTTACTAGCTTCCAGCCACGGCTGAGGGAACTGGCAGATCACTCCACACCAGCACAGCCCTGATATTTCCTCTCAAAAGTTTGCACCACCTCCAATAAAAGCAGCAGACCTGCTCCAAAGACACTGCAAGGCTCATTTATACAGAGGTGATTAGGAAAAAAAATCTCGATTAAGAGGAGTCTTCAATTCTTTGAGTGTTCTGGATAATTGATTTCCCTTCTTGGCCTAATTAAGCCCTACCCAGTAAAACTTTTCCATTAAAAGTATATATTGTGTATATATATTTATATATACATATATATTGTATCATTTATGTATACACACATATATATTCTTGATTTTCTAAATCCAATTTAAGTTTTCTCTGATTAAGTCACCAATGGTGTCTAGAGATGACTGGTATGAAAATACTGTTTTGCCTTCTGGGACACACAGAGCTCCATGCTGCCAGGTGTGTGTGTGTGTGTGTGTGTGTGTGTGTGTGTGTGTGTGTGTGTGTTGTTCTACTAATTAAGGTTGCAAGGGCATCTCCTGCTTCTGGAGGGAATGGTCCTTAGTCTCGAGACCTTTGTAATACTTCATCTGCCCAAGGAAGTAAATAGCAGCCTTTCACTATGGGGAACCCATGGGACCTGCTCTTTGTGGCTGCCTCAACAGATAGAAAAGGCTGGAGAGAGTTGCAATGATCATGAGATGGGGAGTGGGATTTCAAAGCAGGAACTGAAAGGCATGGTGTGCAGTCAGCACAGCCAGAAAAGCTGTTCAAAGGGACTTCTAAAATGGGCAGGGTTCTGTGGTTTTATATTTGCACAGATCAAATTTTGCACTGAAGACCTTCCAAAGAGTGTGTAGCCCTCAGCAGGGTTTTGCCTGCTTCTACCGAAGGCTCAGATGTGGCAAGCCAGCCAGCAGAGCTCTCTGTACACCATTCAGTGGACTCCATGCCCACCCTGCAGATTCTGCAAACCCCATTCTGCTGAAGCACAGAGAATGTAAACCAACCACGGTGACTCAGTCAGTACTAGAGTCAGGACTATCGGTTCTGCTCTGTTTCCTAGTTTTAAAAAGATGGGCTTTGTTTTACAGTCTGTGGAGTAAGAATGAAGAGGAGGCAAGAACCAAGCCCAGGAGCAAATGCTAGAGGCTTTGTCCTCACTTAATTGCCTGAAGGCAGGGAGTGTGCAGAACTGAAAAGGAAAGAAAGAAAAAGACTTTGTGTTCCTTGCTATTTGGTCTCTGTGTTAGGACCCTTCCCTCTCCCCTGGTCCTTGCCTGAGGCATCTGCCTCATTTCCACTCAGCTACATGGTGACAATGAGGAGAATACCCTAGGACCCCCCAGGTAGGCTTGTTTCTACTAAAGACATGATTGAGGGCAGAGCAGCTGGTCCACACCGTGCCAACCAGAAATCAGAACCTGGTCTGGGCAGATGGCTCAGTCAGAAAAATGTAAAGATCCAAAGTTCCAATCCTTAGACACCCACATAAAAACCCAGACATGCATGGTACAACCTGGCTTTGTAGCTCTCTATGTCACAGCGCATGTGGCTTGAGTGTTTCTGGTATACACACACATACACACATAATTGTGTATATATAAAACATTAACTTAAATATGTTCTGTTTTAAAAACAGAGATTTTGGGGCAGAAGGGATAGCTTACTTGTTAATATGGGTGCTATGGAAACCTGAGACTCTGAATCTGGACCCAGAAGCCATTTTTTTTTTTGTTTTTTGTTTTTTTAAATCTGGCCTGAGTAATAGGGAGGTGGAGACAGGATGATCCTTGGGGCTCCCTAGCCAGCCATCCTAGTGTGACCAGCAACCCCTAGGTCCCAGTGATAAACACTGTCTCAAAAAACAAGGTGGTTGGCTCCTGAGACATAGTACCTGAGGTTGATCTCTGACCTCCAGGGGCACACACACACACACACACACACACACACACACGGACACACACACACAATGAAAAGCCAAACCTCTTTCCAGCCAAGTGTGGTAACTGAACTTTATTGTAACTGGTTCAATGGGCCGGGGCCATCCTGCAACTAGAACCTGTGAGAGGTTATCTTTATAACCATAAAGTACATCAGACATAACCGAGAATGGAACCGGAACAGCTAGTGCCGGAACCGGAAGCATGTGCCAGTGCATCTCACATGCCAGTGATCACTCTCTGCAGATATCTGATTGACACAAAGTCGTTGTGGGTAACTGAATCCCAGGATGGGGCTTGTAGGAGTTCCACATGCCCCTTTGGCTTTGGATGTTTCCAGACAGCTTGTGTAGAAGCGACACTTTACAAACTCAGGGCAGGGAGGAATAACACAGAGCAATTTTAAAATATTTAATACATTTGTTTTGTTCTACAAAGAATGAGCAATTCTCAAGTATTACAAACAGTGAAACAGATATACTAGTGTATGGATATATAGAGATAGATATGTACAATTTACTACTTTATACTTCAAAAGTGCAGGAAGGTAAATTACATAATATATATATATATAATTTTGGATCTATTGGACAATTGGATATTGCTCTTGTGTTGGACTTGATGCATTGGATGCGTGCCCATGGCTTGTCACTGAATGGAGAGGGGACCAGTGGGGATTAGGGAACTCATGGAGTCCCGTGCTTAACCCCAGAGTGCCATCTTCAAAGCAATATTTCAAGTTTTATAACGAGCTGGGGCTGGGTCACAAGTGTCCAGTCCCATGTGCAGTGTAGGATGTCACCAAGAACCTCAGCTTCGTGACATGGGGTGGGACCAAAGCCAAGCTGAAAGCCATTGGCCCAGTAGTACTGTGTACTCAGCCCCTGAGTCAGAGGGAAGTTTGCAAGTGTGGAGCCTCATCTACAGAAGGAGTGTCCGAAGGAAGCCAGGGAGGAAGGCTTCCTGACCTCCCACCCCCTCAACGCACAGGCAGAACAGAAAGGAACAAAGACTGTGAATGGTACCTGCAAGATGCTCATGTCAATGAAGACCAAAATAACAAAAGGCTGAAGGAGCCCTGACGTGTGGTCACGGGGAGCAGGGAAGCTTGTAGAAACGCTCATGTCTAAAGCCTGGTTACACTCACTGTGATAAACAGGATTTTACTTCCTGAGAAGGGATCACCACAAATTTATATCATATATATGGATATATATCCGATAAATATGATATATATCATATCAGCCAGAGAGTCGTGTCTTTCCTTCACTATTTCTGCACCTAAATGACAAGGTGATAACTTTCTCTGAGAACAGAAATAGAAATAAATGGAACAGCAAATTAAAGACATTCCAGGAAATTCCACAACTCAATCTTATTGTGCTAGAGAATGGCCTTTGGGAACAGAAGGAGCCAATAGAAGAGGCTCAGAGAGGGTCTGGAATGGGCACAAGTAATTTAAGCTCTCAGCTGGCTCCTGGGCTTCCTCATTTCTCTTTGGGCCTGCTTACCCAGGTAGCCCCAAGGCTTTTGTTCTAGAAGTCCCTGGGGATGGCAAGATCACTGAGCCATACAAATTTCTGAGGGACCTCCCTGGCCCTCCACATATCACCAGGGTACGTTATAATTGACAGAGCAGAGGAGGCCAGACCAGACAAGGCAACTGAAGGAAATGAGGGTGTCTGAACACAGTGTGCTTCGGAGGCATTGGTGGAGTAAGAGGGCTACCCCACCACCCCAGCACGGGGACCTCTGCCCAGTGGTCATTAGACAACTTATAGACCCACAGTGCTGCAGCTTCCTCTACCTGCTGACCGGTCAGTGGCAAGAGGGCTGAGAGAATGCTCCAGCCAGCACTGAGGCCAGCGTGGGTTTGTCCTACTCGGTGAAACAGGAGTGCCTTCCCATTGGCTGTGGAAGTAAGAACTCTCAAGAATCAAAACTCAGCCAGACTCCAGGAGAGCAAGCAAATTAGACTAAGCTGGGGGCACTGTGCCCAGAAAGGAGAGACCAGGCTATCTGCAGCCACCTCAGTGGCTGACCCCTCAAGCAGTGGCTATGGTTTGTTCAGAAGATTCCAGGGTGCATGCACGGTCCTTGGGAGACGTTTGCTGCACTGAGGAACTCTTCAGGACGTTTAGCAAGGAGCCAGGAGAAAATTTACTAGTGATTAAATGCATTTCCTAGCAGTCTACTTCCAATATAGAGAGATCCTTAAAAACACAGCGAACAGCGTCTGTTTCAAAGTATTTCATGAAGGTGCAATGTGTAGCACCTACACGCCTGTGTCACTTAGAAAAATGGATGTGCTTCTGGTTATCCGACGCTCGTGGTTGGCTGTTTCCCAGCTGGGTACACGTGGAGTTATTTAAGACAAGAAAACCATCTTGGGGGAGAGGAAGAGGGAAGTCTAAAAAATGCCTACTTTATTGGCTTTTATTTAAAAATCTGAGGGCTGGAGGAAGTGGCAACCCTCCAAGGTCAAAAGAAAGAAAGTTCGAGTTTCTAGAACCCTCAAAGTATAACACACACACACACACACACACACACACACACACACGGGTGTTATTGCGGTGTTTGCATGATGTCACAATGTCCTGACTCAAAAAAAAAAAAACAAAAAAAAAAAAAAAAAAAAAAAAAAAAAAAAAAAAAAAAAAAAAAAAAAACGAAAGAAGTGCTGACACAGCCTCAAGCCACAAGTGGCCTTGGCATTGTGCAGGAAGTGTATGTACCACTGACAGGCCGACATGGAACTTGCTAAGAAGGCTTTGAGGAAGTGTCACATCCCCCAGTGTGTCAGTAGGAATGGCATGAGGATCACTTGGAGGGGGCTATGGTGTTTTATCTTTAATGCCATTAAAAATGCGTCAACGGGAACCACTGAGGCACGCAGGTCCACGCTGGACCGGCAGGTTTCTCGCCTCCTTTAACTGCCTGCTCCTCCCCCGAAATGTCAGCGGCTTCGGAACTAGGTTGCCTGATGTGGGGTGGTACCAGTGGCTCTGGGCTGAGCTGCTGTCACACGCACTTGCTTTACCCACTATTCTCAACGTCCCCTGTGTCCGCGGCTCTGCGTCCCCTCGCCTTCCCACGGCTGGAGCCGGCTCAGGACCCGCCTCGGCTTCCTAGCACGCCGAGAGCATCGCGGACTCTGCACCCCCTGAGGGGTGGGCTGATGGGGTGCACGGAATGCCTCTTGAGGACATTGCAGGGTGTCGCAGCCAAATGCAGTGTTTAACACGTGGGCATCAGACATGCTGCCCTGACGACGATGGGGTTCACGGGGGGTGGGGGCAGGGGACGGGGGGAAGGGCCCTAAGGGCAGCAGCTCCTTCCGTGCCAAGGCCCCTCACATGACCACACACTTGCCCTTGAGCTTCTCCTTCCGCTTCTGCTGCTTGCTCTTCTTGCCGTCGATCTGGAGGCTCACGGTCCTGCGCTTCTCCAGGTTGAGCAGCTCCTGGAAGAGCTCCTTGACGTTGTGGTTGAGCTTGGCCGACGTCTCCATAAAGGCGCACTTCCACGTGCGCGCCAGGGCCTCGGCCTCGCTGCTCTGCACCTCCCGGTTGGGGCTCTCATCACACTTGTTCCCCACCAGCATGATGGGGATGCTGTCCACATCCCCCTTGATCTCACAGATCTGCTCGTAGATGGGCTTGAGTTCCTCCAGGGACTGCCGGCTGGTGATGGAGTAGACCAGGATGAAGGCGTGGCCCTTGGAGATGGAGAGCCGCTGCATGGCGGGGAACTGGTGGCTGCCGGTCGTGTCGGTGATCTGCAGCGTGCATATGCTCTTGTCACAGCTGATCACCTGCCGATAGGTGTCTTCCACAGTCGGGATGTAGCTCTCCCTGAAGGTCCCTTTCACAAACCTCAAAACCAGGGAGCTCTTGCCAACGCCACCTGCCCCGAACACGGCCACCCGGTAGTCATTGCTCTGTTCCGGCATGTTGCTTCAGAAGCTCCGCTAGTGACCACGAGGTGCCTAGCAAAGGGAGCAGACATTGAGAGAGTGCATTTGAAAACACCCAAAGCATGTTTGTTTGTTTGTTTGTTTGGGGGGGAGGAGTCTTAGTCCACAAATAATATATAAAATAAGGTGATCCCATTTGTGTTCACTACCCGCCACAAAACCCCTCCGGATTCCATTTAGCTCCTTCCACAATTTGAAATCCAAATTCCCTTGACTAGTCCTCAGTTTCCCTTGAAGAAGTCGATGCACTTTGTAGCTAACTGAATAAGTCCATTCTTCCCTGTTGACCTTGACCCTGAGCCTGTTTGCTAACACATAGGCCTTTGCCCAGGAAGAAGATAAGGAGCCACCCCGAGACAGACAGAAGGAAGGCAGACCCAGGAACATGAACAACGTGAGAACAAAGTCCTCACAGCATCTCCTGTGCTGTTACACACAGTATCCCGGGCCCAAGAAAAAGGTGTAATCGTTCAGGGAAGATGGCTCGGTATGTAAATGCTTTCTGCTCAAGCATAGGAACGTGAATTCAGATGCCCAGCCCCATGCAGAAGCCAGGCACAGTGGCGTATTTCCGTAAGCCCAGCACGGGGTAAGGGGGTTGGGGAGACAGGTAGATCCATGAAAGATCACTGACCAGATAGGCCTAGCTGATGTGTGAGCTCTAGGTTCAGTGAGACACTGAGAGAGAGAGACACAGAGAGAGAGGAGGAGGAGGAGGAATGGAAAGGATAGAGAAGAGAAGGGAAGAGAAGGGAAGAGAAGAGGAGTGGGGAGGGGAGGGGAGAGGAGAGGAGAGGAGAGGAGAGGAGAGGAGAGGAGAGGAGAGAAGAGAAGAGAAGAGAAGAGAAGAGAAGAGAAGAGAAGAGAAG